CAGCAAGTAGAAATGTGTAATACTAATATCACTAATCATCTCCAGCATGCCTGTTCAGAACACTCTGCTGAATTTACGGTTTAAAAAAAGCAGGCTGTTCCCTTTTTGTTCCGACAGGTTAGAAACAAGGGCCGTATTTCTATGAAAACCTGAGAATGCCCAGTCTAACAGGAGAAGATCCAGCTGTACCTGTGATACAGCCCTCTTTCTGAGCTGGTTCAGCAACAGAACCTACTGAAAACTCCTAACTGGGAGTCTCTGACCCAGAAAGGACCACAAATGTTATTTCCGTTGTATTCATCTGTCTTCATCATCATCCCAGCGACCTCTCTGTATTGAAGCGTCGCGCTGGCACTGCCAGACGCTGCTGGTTGCATCCCTAGGTGCGCCTTTACCTGTGTCTTTTAGAGCCAAGATGCCCCTCCGGAGATCGAACCCGGGCCCTGGGGGAAGAAGAACTCTGTTGCATCCGGTGTTTGGCGGAGTTACAAAAAAAGTGAAAACAGAATCGCGGGGCTAAACGGGGACCACACGTGTGTGTGTGTGTGTGTGTGTGTGAGAGAGAGAGAGAGAGAGAGAGAGAGAGAGAGAGAGAGAGAGAGAGAGAGAGAGAGAGAGAGAGAGAGAGAGAGAGAGAGAGAGAGAGAGAGAGAGAGAGAGAGAGAGAGAGAGAGAGAGAGAGAGAGAGAGAGAGAGAGAGAGAGAGAGAGAGAGAGAGAGAGAGAGAGAGAGAGAGAGAGAGAGAGAGAGAGAGAGAGAGAGAGAGAGAGAGAGAGAGAGAGAGAGAGAGAGAGAGAGAGAGAGAGATCACGGAGAGATAGACACTTGTTACCAACAGGGAAGAGTTAGACACGAATAAAGCAAGGCTGCATTGCCCGCTCCCGGATCCTTCTCCCGGGGATGCCTGCCTTCGGCAACACGCGCTCGCTCGCCCGGGCACGGGAGTAGGCAGTGCCCAGACTGACTAACCCCAGCTCCCGAAATTTGTCATGTCAGGAAGGGGAGGAGGATCTTCCGCCCGGCTCTCGCTTTCGCCGCCGAGAGAGAAGCCCCCGAGCCCGCGGCGGCCGCCGCCTCCCGGACCATCGCGCGCTCTCCTGTTGGCCCGCGTCGAGACCCGCGTTTGCGGTCGTGTGGAAGCGCCTCGCTGGAGCGGGTGGGGGCGGGAGCCTCGCCTCGCCCGGCGCGCTCGCCCACCCGGCCGAGTCCGAAGCCAGCCGCTGGAAAACAACTCAGGTAGGCGCTCCCGTTACGCTCGGCGCTGGACTGGCCGTGAAACCTCCTAGGAAAGAACTGGGAAGGAGCCGCTTGAAATACGGGTTTTTAAAAATAACGCTGGAAAGACGCTCGGAAGAGCCTTTCCTCGGATATAGATTCTCTCCCCCCCCACCGCCTTCTCATGCTGTTTCCGTAAACGGGACCCTGGCAGGTTTGCAGGAGTTTATTTCTCCGATGAATTGGGCGAGTGTGTGTGTGTGTGCGTGTGCGTGTGCGTGTGTGTGTAAAAAACATTAGGCAGAGGAAAATGTGGCGCGGGGAGCAGCGTTTCGAAACCCGCGTCAAGACTTTGGCCGTCGTGACGGAGAAACTGGGCACCTGTCAGTAAGAAAATATTTCAAATAATTTTGTGATTGAAATTCCTTAATGTCGGCCGGGAAAGACCCCGTCAGATGCAAATCCAAGAAATATGGGTTTTCGCTCTTTTTTTTTTTTAATCTTGGGGCAGTCCTAAGCCAGGGGAAAATCAACATTGCAACCTTACGCATGGTTACTCCGAAATAAGTCCCTTTCAATGCAGTGGGATTTAACCCCCCCCGTAAGTGTTCGTCGGTTTTCGTCTTAAGACATAGTGTTTCTTCTTCTTCTTCTTTTCTTTAGTGTCTATGTGGTTCACTTAAAAAGACAGAATGTTATGAAACAGGCTAGGATAAGGAGATTCCCAATTAATTAATTCTTAAATCACAGTTTTCATTAACTTGAAGGTCTGGTTCAACTGTATGGAAGTGCTATTAGGTAGTCAGCAATGGTTTCATTAAAAGCTCTGCTAAAAATGCATTCTTTTTCCAAAGGAAAATACTGGGCAGGATCCACTATCCTTTATTATGCCCTTTTGGCAGCAATCAGATATGTGCTTGCCTGAGAGTAAGCATGATTGAAATCTGTGGTATTTACCTTTGAGTCACCATAGGCAGGATTGCAGTGTAAATTCCGTGGATGTGCTGTCCATATGTTTAGCTGTGTTCCATCAAAAACCAATGGGTTGAACTAAGAACTGAGCTATGGTTTATGGGTTGTACACATAGGGTTGGATCCACAATCTGTCTTCTACTAGCAGAAGACTTTGTTAATGGAAGACAGGATCCTTCCTTCCTGTTTGCCTCATAACACCCTGGCCAGGAAGACAGTTCTTGCTAATTGAACCAATGGACCTAACGTTTTTATCTGTCCCTAACTGAATGTCACAGCGTCAGGTCCCTCTTTTGCCACATCTACAGGAATCTGGGCTCCGTGAAATTGCCAAGGATGCCTAGAAAAAGGGCAACTTCAATGGGAAAGCTATGAGTTCTAATCCCATCCGCATGACGCAGGACTTTTCTTGGTATAGGCAATGACAGAGGGTGATTAAAATCTGGGTCTTCCTTGCTTTTTATTCCCTCCTGAAGGCTATAGTGTTCTTGTTTTCGTAATGAGATACAGTAGTGGTTCTTTTTGTTTCTGGTGGTGTAGGGGCAGAGTTTAGTACAACGGCACTTTCCATTAAGTTAATTTCTACAGTTACAGTTTATTGATTGGAAGCTTTCAATCTACAATCACTTAGCAATGAGAAACACACACAGAGAGAGACCCATAGGTCCAGAAGAGTAGACAGACTTTGCAGGGGGAGTTTAAAGGAGGTTGCCTTTAAAAGTGTCAGATGGTCAGGAACCCTGATAAATCCTGAGGTTGTGAGAAACAGGCACGAAGTGGGCAGAATTTCCCTACTGTCTGGAGACAGCCCATGGACGCATGGCTTCTAAAATGTGACTCTTTTATTAGGAAGTCCTACTTCTAATCCCTGCCATCTCCATCCAAAGCTCAAGAGGTCATCAGCCAGGATGTTCAGAATTAAGCTAGACCAGATGTTTTTAGACTAAATCTCCCAGCAGGCTTCAGCATTTGTTGTGCTGGATGGGGTTTCTGGGAATTGTAGTCCAAGAACGTCTGGAGACCCAAAGATGGGAAATGCTAAGCTAAAGCAAGAATAAGAAATTTCTGACTGTCCAAATGTTTGGGACTTGAAGTTTGAGAAGCAGTAACTAGCAGGGTCAGTGGTAAGAGTCGAGTTGAGTCCAAAATATCTGGAAGGTCACACTTTCTGATGGGGCATGAGAGAGTTTCATATGTTCTGTGTTGCAAAGACTGTTCTAGAGATAGAGGAGATGATCTTTTAGACTTCTGTATGTTTCAGATTTTCAAGTCCATAATCCCTTGCCACTGGTCATTCTGACTAAGACATCAGTTAGTTGAGAGTTGAATTTTTTAAATCACTAAGTTATTGCATGAACAGAAGGACTTAAGCAGAGTGTCTTCCAGTGCAAAGTAGGCACGGCATAGACTGTTCTGTCCTTCAGTAACTTCAGTAAAATGAACAGGCATTCAATCTAGTTCTGTGCCCAGTGGAGCAAAGGACTGCAAACACCCAAGATTTATAGGTGTATTTCTGTCCATTGCACAGAAACGGAGAAGGGAGGATGAACACTAAGCTAAACACAAAATGTCACACCAATTAAAACTGCCCATAGCTTTAGATTCATGTAACTCATCCAACATTATGTATGTACAGTACTGTATAATTGTAGCCTTAAGTAAAAAAAAATAAAATAAGAAAAAAATCCTTCTGAATCATCATGCTTGTTCATGTTGTTGGAATGCAAAATCTACAAATAGACGATAGAAAAACAGAAACTAGTCGGAAAGGAATTCAGCCACCAAAAGAGTTTGGACGAGCTTGAGAAATGGGTCTCCATGGAATATGTAGAGAGGCAAGACTGAATTATGTTTTGAATAATATCATTGGCAAACATCTGAGTTCTGAATCCTCGTGTGTTGCTTCAATGATTTCAAGGAAAACCAAGCAAAGCTGGGCAAAGGTAAAAAAAGCAAAATGCTGGCTCTAAAGGAGCAGGATACAGTCCACAAAATCATAATAAAACCTTAGTCTTAAAGGTGCCTGAGAATCCTTGTTCTTTTTATTGCAATCAATTAGCATGGCTGTCTCTTAGGAAATGTCCAGAGGATACTGGTAATTTTTCATCATGCAAGCTGAAATTCAAGAATGTATCCTTTGATTTATTTCCCTGCTCAAAACATCCTGTACTACACTCTAGTAGCAAAAGTGATTTATGCACACTAAAAATGGTGATGGACAGGGGATTGGGGTTGGAAATGCCTTAAAGAACATGTGTACATTTTTAATTTGACTTGTATTTTAGGGGATTTACCTTCACTATGGGCTGTTGAGATCAAATTGCAGAGTGAAGGGCTATCTTCTAGCGCAGTAAGAGAAACTAATTCTATTTAATAATTTTGAAACTTTATACAAATATTTTATTTATTCATTCTACACCACTACACTTAGCTGTATGACTGGACTTGGCGTACACATATTACAATTGGATAAACTTTGAAAGGCAAATTACCAGAACTTTTGCTCTTTCATTTTGACAGTGAAACAAAAATTATTAGCCTATTAAACACAAAGGAATAGATACACACCTGAGTTTGAACCAACGTCCTTTACAAATCAAGGTAAATGTTTGACACAAGAGGCTTTAAAAAGCAATTGCTTGTCTCCGTTTGTGTCGGCTGCAGCTTGAGAATCTTGTGTTGCTTTGAAGTATTTGTTCAGTTGAGGGATTGAATTCATATTTGGTCACAGAGGATAATAGATAGTAATAGATAGAAATGGGCAAAAGCGAGGCCTATCATCCTACCTTAGAAGGGCTATTGTGAGCTTAATGTGAGAGGGGACCTGTCCTTAGTTCCCACGCTGATTTAATTGGAAGAAAGGTGTGATAAATAATAATAATAAAAAACCAGAGGGTAGAAATGTAAATATTTTGGACTACAAATTCCAGCATCCCCCAGCCATTGCAGTTATGAGAGGATTCCGGGAGCTGTCATTCAAAAAAACTGAAGTTCCCGAGATCTGGAATAAACAAGCAGCCAATTGCATTCACATGTTTGTCTCATAATATTACTACTATGCAGCTACACCATTAGTTACAGAATCATATTTAAACTGCTAGATAGCTCAGTGGTTTTGGTATCCAGCTGCGGAGTCAAAAGTTGGGAGTTTGATTCCCCCCCCGGTGCCTCCTTGACAGGGGCTGGACTTGATGATCGCTAGGGTCCCATCCAGCGGTGCAGTTCTAAAGTTGTTAAAAGAATTCCCCCCCTTCATTTTCTTGCTGAAAAGGTGTCATTGACTCACAGCTGAGAATGTAACTTTTTTGGACCACAGTTCTCAAAATCCCCCAGCCACATGCTAGGGATTCTGGGAGTTTTGTCCTCCAGTAACACCAGTAAAATGAACAGGCATACAGTCCTGTTCTGTGCCCAGTTGAGCAAAGGACTGCAAACCCACCCAAGATTTATAGCTGTATTTCTATTCAGTGCACAGAAACAGAGAGGGGAGGATAAACAGCGAGCGAGTGAAGAAGCAGACAGGCACCCTTTTCACTGGCCAACAGTTAACTGAAAGTTCAAATTTTGCACTTTCCCTGCCTCCCACGTGGGTTTTTTTCAGTTCTTAACTCAAATCTAAGTATGTAAGTCAAGTCAATATTTTCCTATGAGAGCGGTTCTTAAGTCAAAATGTTCTTAACTCGGGCCGTTCTTAAGTCAAGACCCCACTGTATGGACTACAAATTCAGTGCACAGAAACGGAGAGGGGAGGATAAACAACGAGCAAAATACAAAATGTCTATATGATGATCTATAAGATCCCTTCCAGCTTTGCAGTTTTCTAGGTGATGATGATGATGGTCATGATGATCATCTATAAGGTCCCTTCCAGCTCTGCAGTTTTCAAGGTGATGATGATGATGGTCATGATGATGATCAATGGCTCCTTCTCTAACTGGGAGGAGGTAACAAGTGGAGTAGCCCAAGACTCAGTCCTGGACCCAGTATTCTTCAACATTTTTATTAATGACCTGGATGAGGAAGCGCAGGGAATATTTATCATATTTGTG